CCCTGGAGAAGGATGTCATGCTTGGTAGGGTGGAGGGTCGACGAAAGAGGGGGAGGCCTTCAACGAGATGGATTGATACGGTGGCTGCAATGATGAGCTCAAGTATAGCAGGGATTGTGGGGCTGGCGCGGGATCGGGCAGTGTTTAGTTCTGCTGTGCATGGGGTCGCTATGAGTCGGAAACAACTCGACGGCACTTAACAACAACAACGATATAACCCATTAGGTTTTGTGGTAGGCCAATATCAATTATTTGTGTAATATTTTAAAAATATATGGCATTAGAATGTTTACAGACATCAAGCTAATAGAAAAGTAACATTACAAAAGAAACCGAACAGTCGGCAAATCATGACTGAGGGGAAAAATATGTTATCTACACTGATCTTGTGGTATCAGCCTCCCTCCAAACAAAACAGAATAAGAGGGAGGATTACAAGTATGATGGTCTCATGAGTTAGTTCACACGTAAGGAGAGCTCCACTTTCTTTCATAACTCATTACTGAAAACACATGGAAACTGAAACATCTGACAGTCTAACAAATGTTTTAATAAAGGTTCCAATACCAGGAGGTTTCAAAAATATTATAAATCCCTAATGACACTTCATTTTTTAGACACTATTTCAACAGAATATTTAATATTTCACACTGGTCCTTTAACTTTATAATTTTCCTTTAGAATGCACAAGTCCAACGACTGTCTATCTGACATCATGTCTGATGATTAGCATCTATCTTCCAACGATATTACCTTTACAGGATCTGTATATTGGAATAATTTAATTGTAAGCCTTCAACTACTTTTTCAAAAAATGCAGAGACAATGTTCAAATAGTTATACACTATGGAATAAAAACTTACTTCACTGAAACTTCAAAATTAAACTATTATGCATCAGAAAGCTCTACTGTAAGACACTCAAAATGTTTGCTAACTAGTGGACAAAAGTCAAACACAGCATATGAAAGATTATGATAGGATATATAAATGGTAAGTCTGTTTAACAGTTAACACAGGAAAAAGTTGAAGAGTCAGACTACTGAAAATAGTTTTCTAACCCATTTCCTATCTTAGTAGACTTACTACTGGATAAATGTATCTTATAGTTATTTACTGATGATATCATCATCTGAACTGCTTAGTCTATTTGTGTTCAGAGAAAAAGAATATGGGCAGAAACACAAAAGCAAGAAAAAATTGAAACTTTTGAGGTAAAAGGTTTAGTTAGAGGTTTTGGGAGATAACAAGTAAGCAAATTCATTTCTACATAAAGGAAAAAAATCTTCTTTTAAGAAATTTCCACTAGCCAGACAGCCAGATGATATTTAAATAAGATTATAGAAAATGACCAAATTTTGTTTTCATAATCAATTTTTTATATAAATAATAATTTGTTGCAATTATACAGTATTCTAAAGCATACTGGTTATTTGTAATAATTGTTATCATTTCAAATTATCCGTGAAGACTTATGAAATAGATGACCTCTGAATTATCGTCACCATTTTACACATGACAAAAAGAAAAGGTTAAAGACCTCAACAAAGCTAAGCAACAAAGTCAGGGACCTGAACTGAGGTCTTCTGGATGTAAAACTAGAATTATGAGCCTGATAAGTATAAGCTTTGGAATAAAGATAATAAAGGAAGTAAGATGTTACAGTGTCAAAACTGTATGACAGTGAAAGCAGGTGCAAGTGTCAGAATTCACTTGCTGCTAATCCAAGAGTAGACTTTAACTCTGTGGACTCCAAATCAATTATTTTTACCCAATATCTCACAGATTTACCTCAGTGCTTTTCAAACGAGGATAAGCAGTGATGAACTAGGGTGTAAGAAGCCACAGGATAATTACAGTGCAGGTCTCTGGATTATCCATTTTTCACAAAGATTAGAAGTGATAGTATAAGAGACCAATCATTTAACTGTTAAGAACTTTAAATATCATATTTATATTAAACTTAACATGGATTCGACTGTAAAACTAATGATTTTTAAGGTAAAACTAGCAGATTTCCAAGAAAATTTACATTTGCTGGCATAAACCTGTGGCTATCAGAATGAGTTTGAAGAAATATTATAAAGTGTAAATAGGATCTGCTAAGAAGTACAAATCCCTGCTTTCTAAATATCTCTACCTTGCTGATGCAGTTTTTTAATCCTAATTTTATCAGTGATTTAAAGAAAAAAAACACTCAACCGTATAAGTATCAATTTTAAATCGTATATAACAAAATCACAACCAATAATGAGCAAGCATTGCAATGACTGTTTTAACTTTTAAACAACATATATAAAGCAAAGAAACTACTGATCTCAGTGAATTCTACATACATTCTACTCACCTTTCTGACACTTAGTTTCATGTTTTACAACAAAATTACCTGCATGTTGACTCTTTCAATCACACAAGAAAGGACATGCAAAACATGCATCTTTGTGTCACATTCTGTAACTTGTTGCAGTAACTGAAAAAGTAGTGTGAACATGGTTTCCAAATACTGCAGATAGGAAATAAAAGGTTCAGAAAAGAAATGTAAAGACCTCTACATACATGCCAACAAAAATTTTAAAAAATTAAGTCACAACATCAAAGCAATAAAAACCAAACAGAAAGCTAAAACCTTAGCATTACCTAAACAACTTCAAAGTGTGCAAGCTGCCAGTATTAAGTGATTTTTCTTTATTGCGGCAAAATGTGTGTTTTAGAGTTTACTCACACTCAAATAATGTTTACAGAAGAAAACTGTGTCTAACTGTTTGTTTCAATTTTATATTGCTAAATAAACTGTTAGCAGTGCCTTGTCATATTGCTCTTCAACATATGCCTGTTGGCAATCACAAAATGGTTTGTTTTCCAAGGCTCACCCATTGAAACAAAAAGAACACCGATTACCACACTGACATGCCAGCTGTCTAAGTGGCCTTTTACATACACTGCAGAGAGACATAAATTTATACGGATTATATACTTGTTATTTTAAGAGTGACAGTTTATCTATTATTGGGAAATAGAAAACAAATATCCTACATCTGGATTTTAAATACAACACTATGAAAATTATGTTAGCACTTAATAAATTACAAGCTGCTAAATACTTAGATAAACAAACATTTAATCTTTCAAATATTTGGTTCATTTTAATAAAGATTTCTAAAACATACTTCTTTCATCCAAAAATTACAAAAGATTATTTTACTAAAGAAAAAATCACTGTTGTACATGTTTTTCCACCTATAATTCCCTTTAAAAAGTAGGTATTTTTTCACATAATGTTCTTCTCACATAGTTCACTTTAAAAGAACAAACACTTTCACCTAAATCCTATTGGCATATTTAACAACTGCTTACTGACAAATCAGGTGAAAACATGAATACAATCATGTGGAAACAAACACCGTATTAGGTGCTGACGATAGAGTCAAGACCAAAAAGATAAGGAAGACTTGGTATTCTGCTCTTCAAATCATTTGCAATTTAGTGTATGATACAAACATATACACACAAATAATACAGGAGGGTAACCTAAGGAGTGAAAAGTTACAGATATACATAAAATGAAAATACTAGATGTTTTAAAATTATGAGAAAGGAAAATGTTTAGCAATCAACTTCAAAATAAATGACAAGATAACACAAATAAGCAGAACAAAAGTGAACTGGGCAGAAGAGTTATCAATAAAAGTAATTGCTTCAAAACAAAAGAATCTAATATACTTTTAAATTCAGCTGTAATAAATAACATATATACATATAATTTCAGCTATAAAATAAGATAAAACTTAATATTCCAAAGACATAGCAAAAATTGTTATAAAATCTGAAAGTAAGGTTTCTTACCGGTAAAAACTGATCTGTTCGAAACTCAAAATCATCAACAGGTGAATAACAGTTAAGGAATACTAAAAACTAATGTATGATGTTTGTCAGGATTAAAATGTATTTAAAACAAACCAATCAATAATCTTTTTAAATTATATCATAAATTAATTTCAAAAAATTATTTACAATTTTAAATTCTTATTAACAAATTTCTTTGTGATCAAGTATTTTTAAAAAATTTTAAAGGATATTTAACTTCAGAGTTGTTGCTGTTTCAATACGGACCTAAAAGAAAGTATAGTCTAAGTTTTTCATCATTCCAGAACTATTAAACATCATTAATAGCATAAAGAAAAAAAACTTACTCTAAATTAGATTTTTACTCTTTTTGTTAATGTCATAGAGCATGTTAATACACAGAGATACAGGATAGTCCCCATATTTTTGCAGTAAGGACTAAAAGGAAGGAGTTGCTTAAGGAACTTTTAATTCAGTGGGTTTTTCCAGGAAGAAAAATAACTTTGTCAAAGATGTGTGAAGATGGTAGCACTAAGAGAGAACAGTATGAAGATGACGCCAGAGAGAGAGGGAAAGCTGAGAAACGGAAAGGAGGTGAGGTTTGGGGAAGCTAGAAGATACATAAGTAAAATGTGAGGGAAGAATAAAACAGGAAGAATGGGAGCAGGAAAGAGAGAAGAAAGAATATTAATTCTCACCTATAACCTCAATTATAGTAAATCCTTGACATACTCCAAAGATATAGCCTGAGATCTTCTAAATCCCCAAGTTCACACTCAGAAATATAGGTTTCTATACTGTATAGGTTTACATTTCCTTTATAAATCAGCAAGCTACACAAGAAAATCCTACCATCACAATATTACCTCCTTATCATCTTTCAAATTTTACTCCTGACTTGATTAGCCAGTTTGGCACTGGCTAACACACTTACAATTTCTACATTAACATGAACCCAAGCCACAGCTAAATTCTATATTCTAGACTTTAAAAAAAAAAAAAAATGTGTAACTTTCATATCCTGGTTAGGAGCCATTACTTTCTTAGATGCTAACTCTTCCTACACCTGTAATACCAAACTGGGTTTTCTCTTTGCAATGATTTTACACAGAGAAGCAAAGTTTCCATCATTTTACAGGAGCTTCAGATGTCTTCAGATGCTGATTAGATGCATTTATCAAATGGTAACTATTCTACTACCAAATTCACACTACGGAATAACCCTAGCAGAGACAGGCCACACACATTCCAAAGAAAGATTTAAACCATTTCTGAACCTCAAATTTAACACAGGACAAATTTTAAAAAATAAACTTCTTTAAGACATACCACCAAATCCTGATCTTGAAGCAAGTTACAAATTGCCTCATATAGCATTGGTCTTAAGTCAGACTTGAATTTCACGGAAATCCACTGACCGATAAGCCAGATCACCCTGCGTCGCAATGGCTTATACCTAGATTTTAGAAAATCATGAAATTAAAATGGCAAATATTTTAAGAAGCTTATTTCAGTTAGTGCTTTTAATCATTTTAAATTTATATGTAGTAAGAAAGACAATGTGCATTTTTTATATAAAAGGTCAAAACGGTAACATAAAACATAAAATACGATAACATAAAACACAAAAAGTAAATTTCTGACCTAAATTAATGAAAATTCTTAGGCAGATATATTACAACCCAGATTCTTTTTATTAAAGAAATGTAATATATACATGTACATAAAGACTAAGTCCATTTCTGTTCCTCAAGTAACAAAAATTAGATAACCAGAATATGTGCAACTAGCTAACACCCCAAACCCCAAAGGGACACAGGCACCAAAAAGTCGTAATAAAAGAGCTCCAGTAAGTAACTGCCCAATTCCAATTCTGTTACTACCATAAAGATTATATTCAGAACACTCTGAGTCCTCTAGGTTCATACAAAATATTCATATAAACATTTATTTCAGTTAAAATCTCTTAACTATATAGCAGGTGATCAATATGGAATTTGACTCAGATTATCAAGAACAATGATTTATATGAAAAAGATTTTTGCCCCCCCCTTAATTTGCAGAACATGTACATGTATTTCTTTTGCTATGGTCAAATTTGCTTTAGTAGTAAATAAAGGTTCTTTAGGCAAGTAACTTAAATCGTCTGTTTCCAAGAATTCCGACCACTAAATTGCCTCCATGAACAACTACTTCCCTTGCCACGAGACCAGAATAACCACCATTACTGAACACTGTGATCAAAGAGTCCACAGCAGTCTGATCAAAAGGGGGAAGTTGCAGACCAGAATTTAAAAGTCTCATGAACTCTAGATTTGCTGAAGCCATAGAGGCTGGATGAAACTCGGAAACTACTGTGCTGAAATCACCTTTAAACCTGAAACCGAAAGTAACCCCTTAAAATTTTCTTAAAATTAAACGACAGTTTAGCTTAACAAGTGGAAGGTGTCTGCCTTGGGCATTATGCTCTTTTGAAAACTGTATGGGATCATGTTGGTAGCAGCAGCTCCAAAGACTGGATGGGAACACTGAGGGTGAGTAATTTTGTATTGATGAAGAAGAACAAATCACACAGAGGATGAAAATGGCTGCACAACTTCAAGTATATAATCAGTATCACTGAATTGGATATGTAGAAACTGTTGTTTTGTATTTTGCTGTATGCATTCTTAACAACAACAAAATAAATAAACTGAAAAAAAGAATCCAACACAGTATAACTTTCTGATATTATATAAATTTAAATGGCAAAATGATATATATTTATATTCATAAATATAATGTAAATGGAACAAGCTAATGAAAATACAACATCTTTAGAAAATTACAATCTTAAAAGACTATCAAGCACTAGAAAGAACTGATTACTAAGGTTGCAAAATATGTGTGTGTGTGTTTTCTGCCTTCAAAACTGTATATCACACCTAAAAAAATTTAAGAAAGCTAAGCTACACATATATTAGGATTTTAGAAAAGAAGAGAAAAGAGTGGATAGGGGGAGATGGGATTTAAGCAGTCCTTTAAGATAAACACTACTGGACAGGAAAATAAGAAAATGTCATTTCAAAGGGTAAGAATGTTTTAAACAAAGTCACAGAGTGGAAGTAAACAAGACTTATGTCTAGCACAGGGAAGGAGCCACAGAGCCATCATCCATTTTCAGTCTGAGACCTCTGGGATTATCACACTGATCGTTATTTCAGATAAGGAGGATGAAGCTCGAAAAGGTTAAATTCCAAGGACTCAGTTACTTCAGGAAAGAGATAAGATCAGATGTTAGTTTGTTCCTCAAAGTATGGTCCCTAGACCAGCAGCATTATTATCCTGGAAGCTTGATAGAAGTGCACAATCTTACTATGCCCAGAACTAATAAATCAGAACTTGCATTTTAACAGCTATGCAATGCAACGCACTGACATCGAGTCACATCTGACTCAGCACACCCTCCTTGGGTTTCCAATGTGGTATCACTACAGAAGGAGATTGCCCAACCTTCCTTCTGAGGAGTGGCTGATGGGTTTGAACCGCCAGCCTTCTGGATAGCAGTCAAATGCCTTAGGCACTACACCACCAGAGCTCCTGTCTTTTTAATGAGATCCCCAAGCAATTCATATATACACTAATTTCAGAAACAATCAAGCTCTGTCAATAGTAACATTAATGCAACTCAAATATGCAATTTAAAAATGTTTCATACCCTCACTAAAATAAATAAAAACAAGTAAAATTTTAGCATTTTATTTATCCTAATACAACCAAAATATTATCATTTCAATATATAATAAATGTGTATTTTGCAAAGTGTCAGTTTTTAAATTTAAATTAATTAAAATGTCATTTCTCCAGTTGCACTAAGCTTATTTCATCTGTTCACAAAAGCCACATAGGGTGAACGGGTACAGAGCTAGACAGTGAAGGTCTAGATTAATAGCCTACAGGGTTTAAGGATAATCAAACCATAACATCTGTCCTCTCACTTAAGTTTTCTCCCCATCAGAGACCCACTAACCCCCTGAGAGCAGAAGGAGAGCCTATCTTATTCACCACTGCTGTACAAACCCACCAAACTCACTGCCAGGAAGTCAATTCTGACTCACAGCAACTCTACAGGACAGAGTGTAAATGCCTCATAGGTTTTTCAAGACTATAAATGTTTATGAAAGCAAACTGCCTCTTATATTTTCCATGGAGAAGCTGGTGGGTTTGAACTATCAACCTTTTGGTTAGCAGCCAAATGCTTTAACCACTGTGTCATCAGAACATCTTACCGGCTGTACATGACCTGCTAAGTTCCAAGTGTCAAAAATATTTAATTGAATAAATGATTGAGCAACTGAATGGATTAATAGCTACTTACTGGTAAAAATTACTTTTAAAGAATCTCCAGCTCTACAATTCTATGATTTTAATGTTTATAAATGATCCACACATGCATGGAATCACAGGACTTCTATTCACTTATTACTGTAATCAACACACATTAAATGATCCATTACCGTGCACTAAGTATATACAGTCGCTATGAGTTGGAATTGACTTGATGGCAGTGGGTTAGGTTTTGGGTTTATCTTACTTAGAAAATCAATAAGGTAAAATAAGTATACAATAAAACACAGTTTATACTTGCCTATTATGAGTGACTTGTAATTCTGGAAGAAGTTGGTTTTTAAACCACTGATCAAAATCAACACTGTCAAACAGCTCATAAGCAGCTAATCCCACAGCATTATACACTGAGGAAAAAAAATCAAGACTTTTTTTTTTTTTAAGAGATTGGCTTTCAGTCAACTTATTTTCTACAAATACAAAATGCTAAATGTCCTTGTGTAAAAAGCTAAGTGATAGACACTATTTTGAAATATGAAATATGTAAATAAAGAGAACTATGTATGCAGTGTTAACAAGAGAAATTATTCGGACATTTTAAAAACATTTCAGTATTTTTACTGTTTTTCCTAAATACTCCTTATTACATTCAGAGAAAATAAAATTCTTTTAAAAATATTTAAGTCAAACTATAAAAATTAAAATGTTTCCAAATGGATGTGATATTATATGATCTGGACCTTGCTATCTCTCTCCAGCCTCCTCACTCCACCACTCCACAACCCCTTAACCTCTATGTTCCAGTTAAACCAAAGTACTCACAGTTTAAAAGGCAGCTGTGCTTGCTCTTCTCAGCTTCAAATCTCTGTACACACTACTTCTTCTGCCTGGAATCCTCTTCCCACACTCATCCCCTTGCATAGCTAACTCCTATGTATCCTGTGTTCTCATATTAGACATCTTCAGAAGCCTTTTCCCTAACGTACCAAAACTACCTTGTAATTTTTCATAGCACTACATGATTACTATCTATTTTAACAATAATCATTCTGGTCTATGGTATAATTAGTTGCCTGCTTACTTAGTTATCTTCCACAACAGACAGCTTCATATTTTAGCTAAGCTTGTAACCCAACTATTCAACTATTTGCCACAAAATACTCAAATCTATTGAAGAAATCAGTGTCTCTAAATTACTCAAGTTTAACATACCAGCATCTTTGATTAATAGTGCATTCATATCTTCCACATTGGTGGGCCCTGAAAAGATAAGCATCAATAAAGGTGAGTAAAGCTAGCTTTTTGGTTTCTCTATCATATATAACATCAGAAAAATGACATGACAAAAATTCTCTGTTCTAGTTAACACTCCTTCCTCTTATACCTCCTAGATTTGTCTTGAGGTGCTACATGTATTAACAAGCTGAGAAGAATCAGCCTAGTACACAGTGATCTATCTATCCCAGGCTTTGATCTTCTGCAATCTTTTTATTCATCTCTTGTTGACTTATCACAGTGCCCCTAAGGGCTATCCTAAGCATATTTAATTCCTTAAGCTTCCTAACTTTTAGGAGCTGGCATTGTCCCCTACTTAACTAAGAAGAGAACAATCAACATCTTAAAGTTCCCTATTTTCTATATAACAATATTTAGCCTTACCCCCAATTTTTTAGGAAGCAGCAATCCCCAACTCCATGTATGTGCGAACCAGCTGGTCCCTGTGCTTTCCTCCATTAAACAGTGCCCTGGTCTCATCAGTGCCAATTTCTCTTCAAGTCTTACTGCATCAACTCTCTCCTCGCTCTCTTCAGCTCTTCTTCTTTACCCTCTTAATACTGCAAATGGTACCAGGAATCTCCTGCCCTGCAGCAACTTCTCTATTGCTGTCACTTCTTTTTACATCACTACCTATTCAATCCATGATTCCTTATCATGTGATTCCTAAGTAATCAAAAAATTTATTCCCTCAGAAGATTCTGGTGCCTTCTGCCTTTTATAACACCTAATGCTTCTGACAGCATGCTCTTCTCTAGGATATATCCTCTTACTGTTCTTTGTACGTCAGAGATTTTTAATTGTTTTTTTATTTTTTTTAAAAAAAAAGAGGGCCTTTCATATCTTTATAGTTAGAAGTCTCAAATTCTGCCCTTGAACCTCTTTTCTTTTATGAAGACTCTTCACAGATGCACTACTGTTTTTCTCTTATCAAGACTCAAAAGTTCAGAATCATCTTCATATTGCCTACAACCAACAAAATCAATCAGCTGCCAGAAATTGAATCAATCAAATATTTACTGAGTATACCAAGCACTGTGAATAAACTGCAAACAAAAGAGACACAATCGCTGACTCCTGGAGCTTACAGTCTAGCAGAAGAGTCATATATCACAAATCACTGTTAGTAACTCATTACTTGTATATAAAGGGACTGCTAAAGGAGCAGGGAGGTGGTATCTTTCCAACTCCTCTAACTACACAAGAGAAACACCAAATCACCAACAGTAACCCAAGGCCTATTCCTATGAGGCCAGACTTTCCGCCACCCTCTAGCCCTCTTACCAACCCTGACACCAGACATCCTTCCCGCAGCACCCAGCACCTCTCTGCTGGGTTTGATAATTCACTGCAGTGGCCACACAAAACTCACGGATTATGGGATTTATTAGGAAAGCAACAGATTACAATTCAAGTTCAGGAATGTGCTCAGGATACAGTTCTTCAGTCAAGATGCTCTCCTCTGCTGTGCCCTTAGGCACGCCTCTCTGGCCCTTGGCCTCTTGGCCTGGCCTCTGCCTCTGTTGGCAAGGTAAGCCTGCCGCTCTGTCTCGTGCCTCATGGTTCCACTGCCGCCATCTCTCAGCCAGACGTCACTCTCAGCCGCATGTCTCTTCCTCAGCCACACGTCTTTCTCTCTCAGGCACACATCTCTCTCAGCCAAAAGAGATTGCTTTCTGCCTCTAGGAGGGCTAATTTTAAGCCTGGCAGAGTGGCAAAACTAACCAATGCCAATATCAGAATTCTACACACCTGAGAGCAAGCAAATCTCCCAGAAGATTACTTCCTGCTACTTCAACAGAAATACCCCAGGTGGATAACTTTAACAATCAGGAGTATAAACTACAAGTTCCCACCCAGTAATCTGGTGGAAGTTACACAGACTATGGCTAGAAAAGCCATATCATACAATTTATTAATACTACAAAGGGTAATGACCAACTGGCATAAATTTCACTTCAGCATCATCTTCTTTCCATTCCCACCACCACCATTCTAACTGACACTAACATTTCTGTTCTAACGTTTTCTCCTACTACTTTCCAGATTATGCTTCAGATTGACTATTTCCCAAAACAACATACTTTATTGCCTGCTCTTTGGTTTATGCTGCTATAATGACTGTGATACCAAAATCTAACAACCATATTCCAAACTATAATTCAAGTACTATCTCAAATGCTACACCTTCAGGAAGGCACATTTCCTATCTTAATGCACTGCACACAGTAGGCACTCAAATCATTTTAAATGAACATTAATTAAATGGATAAATTAAATCTCACAAATTATACCTCACCTTGAAGTGTCTGCATCATTTCCAGAAGTACAGGAGTAAGAGTTTGATTATATTCATGGAATATATCTATAAACAGCACTTCAGTGCAAGGCTGGAGAGGAAAAAAAAGACAAATTCCTATAAAAAACAAAGCTATATTGTATTGAAAATTTTTACCATAAAACAAAGGTTACTCATTCTCAAAATACTAAACCTTTGTAAAGACTATTGTAGGGGGAAAAAATATAATAATTTAATTCATAACAAAGAGTTTATTTTATTACTTCAATCATTTGGCACTACATATTTCTCAGTACTGCTATAACCCCCCCCCAAAAAAAAAAACCACCCCTGCCATCGAGTTGATTCCAAGTCACAGCGACCGCCAGTGGGTTTCCAAGGCTGTATCGTAACAGAAGCAGACTGCCTCATCTTCTTTCCACAGAGTGGCTGGTGGGTTTAAACCACCAACCTTCAGGTTAGCAGTCAGATGCCTTAGGCACTGTGCCACCAGAGCTCCTTAGTAATGATATAAGTAAAACGATATAAGCAACAATAGCAACTCATTACTTTCAACACACGAAGCATTTTCTTTTGACACAAAGAATAACAGAAGTCACAGGCTTACCTACATTAAAAAAAAAATTAAAAACTAGTAATTCATTTTGTTCTTAAAAGTACTGAACCATTAGATATTTCATAATATAAAGAAATCATTAAACTTTTCACGTATGGTGCATCACACTTAAAAAGAAATCGTATAGATAAACATACTGAAATATGTATAGATAAAATATATGTCATACCAGAGATTTACCTCAAAATAAGCCAAATATTGGAGGACAGATGACATTTATATAAAAAAAGACTATTCAAAAGTTGACAAACCAGAAAATAGGCTTTGGATACAGAAGGGTTCGTGACATGGTATTTTTAATACATTAGAAATTTCCCATAAGAGAAAATTTATAATTAAAATAGTGAATTAAAAGAAAATTTTAAAGCATTAATAATTTCTCTTTCACAGCTGATTTTCTATGAAACCTAAAAAAAGTAACAAACCTTTACAGAAAACAATAACTAAGTTTATTATCTAGTTAGTGGTGCAGTTGTTAAGTGCTCAGCTACTAATCATAAGGTCAAGGTAATTCAAAACTACTCACTGCTCCATGGGAGAAAGATGTGGCAATCTGTTCTGCAATAACTGCATCCTAAGAAACCCAATGAGGAAGTGGTAACTATGGGGAGAAGTGGGAGGGGGGCTGTTGCATTGTGGTAAACTGTGGTCAATGACATGAGACAAAGTATATGTGAACTGCTGTATGGAAAGTGAATTTGCTCTGTAAATATTCACCCAAATCACAATAAATTAAAAAAAAAAAAAAAAAGAAGAAAGAAACCCAATGAGGCATTTCTACACTGTCCTGTGGGGTAACTGTGAGTCATAATGGACTTGACGGGAACACAACAACAAAAAATTATGTAAACCTAATCCTAAACAGCTCTGGCCACTTGACTGCTAACCAGAAGGCTGGCGCTTCAAACCCACCAGCCACTCCTCGGAAGGAAGATGGGGCAATCTACTTCTGTAGTGATACTGCCTCAGAAACCCAAGGAGGGGTCCCTATGAGTCGGATCTGACTTGATGGCACTTAACAACAACAACAACAAGCCTAAACAAAAAGCATAGCTCAAATAACCACATTTGATAAATCTTCCTTGAAGGCAAAACATTTTCCACATCAGAAACGTTTAAAAGTATCTTATAATTGAAAGTGAAGAGCCCTGCTGGTTAAATGCTTGCCTGCTAATCAAATGGTGGACAGTTCAAATTCATCAGCCACTCCATGAGAAAAAGATGTGGCAGCCTGCTTCCATAAAGATTTACAACTTTGGAAAACCAATGGGAGAGTTCTACTATAACCTCTAAGGTCACTATGAGTCAGAATCAATGCGATAGCAATGGGTTTGACGTATTTTTAACTGAAAGCAATAGCTTGGTCTCTAAGAATCATATTAAGTACTAAAAGAAATAATTCAGTTTCTCAAAAGGTTAAACTTAGCACAAACATATGACTCAATAATTTCACTCCTAGGTGTATACTTAATAATTTGAAAGCAGAAATGCAGATAGATATGAGAATACCAATGTTCATTACAGAATTATTCACAATAGCCAACAGATGAAAACAACCCAAGTGCCCATGAACAGATGAATAAATAACCAAAATGATATATACATGCCATGGAATACTCGGTCATAAAGAGAAATGAAGTTCTGATACATGCTATAATATGGATGAACCTTTAAAATTTCAGGCTGAATGAATTAATCAGATACATAAGGAGACATATTATATGATCCCATTTATATGAAATATCAAGAATAGGCATATACATAGACATAGAGATTAAAGTTGATTAGTAACAATCTGGTGGAAAGAAGGGCTTATTGCTGAAAGAGAATCAAAAAAAAACCACCACTGCCACTGACTCGATTTTGACTCACACTAACTTCCTTAGGTTTCCAACGCTGTAAGTCTTTAGGGAAGGAGACTGACTCATTTTCCTGCTGCAGCAGCTGGTGAGTTAAAACAGCTAACCTTCTGGTTAGCAGCCAAGTATCGTACCCACTACACCCCCAGACTCACAAAATTTTTATTAAAGGTGGTGGAAAATTTTGGTAACAGATACTGGCAATGGTTGCAAAACACAGTATATGCAATTAATAACAATGAATTGGAATAAATGAAAGATTAGAAATTTTACAAAATCTACAGATAGAAATCTAGAAGATTAAAACTAAATTCTCAGAGATATGTAACACACTGAACAGGCAAAGGAGTAGAATTCAATCAATGGAAGACAGAATTAGTGAGACTGAAGACAAATACCTCAATACATCCTTGGAAAGGGATCAATAAAAAAAGATCAAAACAAAATGAAGAAAGCCTAAGGTTCATGTGGGATACCATCAAAAGGAATAACCTACGTGTAATCAGAATTCCAGAACAGGAAGAAACAAATAAAACCTCATAGGAAATTGTCAAAGATTTGTTGGAAGAGAATTTCCCTGATATGATAAAAGAAGAGAATACATTCATTCAAGAAGTCCAACTAACCCCAAACAGCATAGACCCCAAAAGAAAATCACCAAGACATATCATCATCAAACTCACCAAAACCAAAGACAAAGAAAGACCCCTGAAAACAACAAAGGACAAACAAAAACTTACCGACAGAGGACAACCAATAAGACTAAGCTCTGATTTCTCGGCAGAAACCATGTAGGCAAGAAGGCAATGGGATGGTATATATAAAACCTTGAAAGAAAAAAATGTCCAACCAAGAATTATATACACGGTAAACCTGTCCCGCATATATAATGGTGAAATTAGGACATTCCAGATAAGAAGAAATTAAAGGAATTTCTTAAAACCAGACCAACCATACAAGAGATGCTAAAGGGAGTCCTTTGGACACAGAACCAACAACAGCAAACAACAACTGCCAATTAACACACATGACAACATAACCCAGAAACTAAATCAGTTATGGAAGTATCCTAAGTAAATAAGCCTACAAAATTGTAAACAGGGAACCAGAGACATCAATTGGGAAATGAAGACAACTGCAAACCAAAAAGAGGGGAAAAAACTGTAGTTACAGAACTTCTAAGCAATGAGGAAGTCAATACAATTGCAAAATAGAACAGACTTTTCTAAACTTTGGAAGAAAATTATAAATTGCAGGGTAACGTCAAAGAAAAATGATAAATCTTCACATAAAAAATAAAAAAAAGAACACAAGAACAAGTATTTAGCAAATACTAACACAACAGCAATGAAGGAAATGATAACAAAATTCATAAGCAAAACAAGCTCAGCACAGAAAATTATATGAAACGAAGAAATCAGTAACACCATGAAAAAACACATAACAAAATGACAGCAAGAAATTCATACTTGTGAATAACTGACACTGAATGTCAATACATTAAATACACCACTCAAGAGACGGAGAGTTGCAGAATGGATAAGAAAACATAACCCATCAATATGCTGTCTACAAAAGACACACCTTAGAGAGAAAGTCACAAACAGACTAAAAATCAAATGCTGGAAAAAGATATATCAAGCAAACAGCAACCATAAAAGAGAAGCAGTGGCGATATTAATTTCTGATCAAATTGACTTTAAGACAAAAACCACCATAAGAGAGAAGGAAGGATGTTGTATAATAATAAAGGATCAATTGAACAAGAGGACATAACAATAATAAATATCTATGAACCCAAAGAGCTTCAAAATACATAAATTAGACTTTAACAGAATGGAAAAGACATATAAATGACTCCATAGTTAATAACAGAAGACTTCAATATATCACTGTAAATCAAAGATAGAACTGGAAAGAAATTCAACAAAGACACAGAAGAACTAAACAATACAATCCACCAACTTGACCTTATACACATCTACAGAGCACTTCACCCAACAACAACACAATACACATTCTTTTCCAGTGCACAGGCAACAATCTCCAGGACAGACCATATGTTAGGCCACAAAGTAAGCCTTAATAAATTAAAAAACACTGAAATACCACAAAGCATCTTCTCTAAGCATAATGCTATAAAATTAGAAATCAAAAACAGGAAGATGAAAAGAGAAAGAGCAAACACATGAAAACTGAAAACATCCTAGGAAATGAATGTCCAAACCCACCAGCCACTCCTCAGAAGGAAGATGGGGCAATGTACTTCCATAGTGATACTGCCTCGGAAACCCAAGGAGGGGTCGCTATGAGTCAGGTCCAACTCAATGGCACATAACAACAACAACAACAGAAAATGAATGGGTAACAGAAGAAATAAAAAGTGAAATAAAAAAATTCCTTGAATCAAATGAGAATGAAAACACAACATACCAAAATCCTTGGGACACAGCAAAAGTGGTGATCAGAGGACAATTTATAACAATAAACGTACACATCAAAAAACAAGAAAATGCCAAAATCAACACCTTAAACCAACATCTCCAAAAATTAAGAAAGGAGCAGCAAGAAAAGCCTACAGTCACCAGAAGAAAGGAAATAATAAAGATTCGAGCAGAAATAAACAGAACAAAAAACAGAAAGGGGGAAAAAAAAAAGACTATAGTTGGTTTTTTGAAAATATTCATAAAGCTGAAAAACCACTGGCAAATTTAATAAAGTAAAGGAGGGACAGAATACAAATATCACTAATAAGAATTTAATGAGGCATCATCACAATTAAACCAACAGAAATTAAAAGGATAATATAAGGAAACTATAAAGAACTATACTCCAACAAATTTGAAAATCTAGAAGAAATAGACACATTTCTACAAACATAACTAAAATCTCACTGCTGTCAACTCAGATCCAACTCACAGCGACACATCCGTGGGCTTCCGATATGGTATCACTAAAGAAGTACAATGCCCAACATTCCATTGGAGGAATGGCTAATGGGTTTGAGCTGCCAGCCTTCCGGTTAGCAATCAAATGCTTTAGGCACACCACCACCAGAGCGTCTTTCTAGAAACATACTACATACCTAAACTAACACAGCCTGAGGTGAAATTTTTGAACAGACCCATAATAAAAAAAAGAAATTGAACAGGTCATCAAAAAATTACCAATAAAAATAAGTCCTGGCCCAAATAGTTTCACTGGAGAATTACATCAAACATTCAGAGAATTGACACCAATCCTACTCAAACTATTCCAGAACACAGAAAAAGGATGGAATCCTCCCAAATTGATTTTATGAAGCAAGCATAACCTTGATACCAAAACCAGACAAGGACATCACTAAAAAGGAACACTACAGACCAATATCCCTCTTGAACACAGATGCAAAAATCTTCAACAAAATCCTATCCAGAAGACTCCAACAACATATCAAAAAAAATTAATACATTATGACCAAATCGGGTAAATAGCAGGTATGCAAGGATGGTTCAAAATCAGAAAAGCAATCAACATCATCCATCACATAAATAAAACAAAGGAAAAGAACCACATGATCATATCAATCAATGCAGAAAAGGCATTTGATAAAATCCAACACCCATTCCTGATTATAACTGTCAGCAAAATAGGAACAGAAGGGACATTCCTCAACATAATAAAGGGCGTATATGCAAAACCAACTGCCAACATTATTCTCAATGGAGAGAGACTGAAACCATTCTCCTTGAGAACATGAACCAGACAAGGATGACCTCTATCACTACTTCTATTCAACATTGTATTGGAAGTCCTAGCCAGGGCAATAAGACAAGAAAGGGAAATCAAAAGCATCCAAATTGGTAAGGAAGAATTCAAACTATCTCTATTTTCTAATGATATGATCCTCTACATTGATCCTATACTCAAGAGAGTCAGCAAAAAACTACTGGAACTAATTGAGAGATTTAAGTATAACGGCAGGATACAAGATCAGCATACAAAAATCAGTCAGATTCCTCTACACCAGCAAAGAGGTCTCTGAAAAGGAAATAAGGAAATTAGTATCATTTACAACAATACCAAAAAAATAAAATACTTGGGAATAAATCTTACTCAGAACACAAAAGACCTGTACAAAGAAAACTATAAAACACTACTTCAAGAAACCGTAAGAGATCTATACAAATGGAAGAACATACCATGCTCATGGATAGGAAGATTGACTATTGTGAAAATGTCAATGCTACCCAAAGCAATCTACACATTCAATGCAGTAACAATCCAGATTCCATCAATATTCTTTAAGGATATGGAAAAAACAATCACTAATTGTATATGGAAAGGAAAGAGACTTTGGATAAGCAAAGCACTACTGAAGAAGAACAAAGTAGGAGGTCTCACACTCCTGGATCTCAAAACCTACTATACAGCCAGAAATCAACCCAGCTATGGAAGTATCCAAAATAAATAAGCCTACAAGATTGTAAACACGGAACCAGAGAAATCAATCGACAAATGAGGACAACTACAAATCAAAAAGAGGGAAAAAACTATATCATTACAGAACTTTTAGATGATACGGAAGTCAAGACAACTACAAGATAGAATGGGCTGTTCTAAACTTGGGAAGAAAACTATAAATCACAGGGTAACCTCAAAGAAAAATGATAAACCTTCACATCAAAATAAAAAAGAGGACCAGCATAAATACTCAGCAAATACTAAAACAACAGCAATGAAGGAAGTGATAACACGATTCATAAACAAAATGAGCTCAGCAAAGAAAATGATATGGACCAAAGAAATCGACACCACAAAAAAGTACATAACAAAAATGACAGCAAATATTTGCCGATAATTACATATCTGGCAAGGGACTTATCTCTTAAAATTTACAGCGGAATAGTGGATGACAAAAAGATGGTATGTACGCATAATGGAATGCTATGCAACACTAAAGAATAATGTATGTAGTATCTGCAAAACACCGCATAACATGGATGAACTTGGAGGACATTATGCTGAGTGACATAAGTCAATCACAGAAGGACAAATATAGCAGTTCATTGTTGTGGAGGGTCAAGGAAAGGTTTATATATGGAGGGAAATTTTCTTTGTTGGTTGCCAAGGGGTGGGAGGAAACACTGACAGAAAAAATACATTGACCCATGTCACTTTTTCGTTTTGTGTATTTCACTGTACATAAATTATATTTCAATAAAATGTATTTTAAATAAATAAATAAAAAGAAGATGGAAACAACCTAGGTGCCCATCAACAGAAGAATGGATAACCAAATTATGGTACATACACACAATGGAACACTATGCAACCATAAGGAGTAATGTAGAATCAGCAAAACACCACATAACGCTGATGAACTTGGAAGACATTATGCTGAGTAAAATAAGTCAATCACAGAAGGACAAATAGTGTATTAGTTCATTATTGTACAAAGTCAAGGAAAGGTTTTTATATGGAAGGAAACTTCTTTGTTGGTTACCAGGAGTGGGAGGGGAGGAGATGGGTGGTAACACTGCAAAACTTAAAAAAGAAAAAAAAAACACTGAATTGTACACTTAAAAAATGGTTTAAATTGGTAAATATTCTGTCATATGTACATTTAAAACAATTTAAAAAAAAAAAGAAAAAGTACATATCAAAAGAAGCTTCACAATTACAGAAATAGTTAAGGATGGAGGGGAAATGCATCATTCTTCTCAAAAAGTGATAGCTTTTAGCTTCATGAACTCTATTTGTACAATGGCACCTAAAACAAAATAACCATATCCTCTGCAGTGCAGTCAAATACTGACTCATAGTAACACTAAAGAACAGAAATGCTCCCAAGGGTTCCCAAGGCTGTAAATCTTTTAGGAAGCAAGCTACTCCATCTTTCTCCTGCATGGCAACTAATGGATTTAAACTGCTGACTTTTCAGTTAGGAGCTGAGTGTTCATCCAGGCTCCTCATAATGATAATTATACCCCCAAACAATCTGACTGCAAAAGGAAGGCAAATTTGCTTTGTAAACCTGAAGTTAACAATCACCAAAATTCAGATTAAAACTTCTAATTTAATTATGTACTTCCCTCTCAAAGATAGTTTCTTGCAAGTTTAGTTTCCTGTTTGTCTGCCATAATGCTTGAATGCTTCAATGGAATGTCCTTCTCCAAGAGCTATGGAAGCATAAAGCTGTCCCCTATCAATTTTTCATTCAATACTTACCCTCAAACTATATTTCCAAGAGTCTCCTCCTGTTTCTTCCACTGCTGCAATTAAAAACACAACAAATGATGGTCTCTAGAAATGCAATAATGATATTTCCAATATTTCAATGTTTTCCCACAGGTAACAAAGAGAGGATAAGTTAGTTATTTATAAAAAGCGAAAATTCTAGTAGCAAATGTGCTATAATAAAATTCAATGCTATCATATTTATCAGTCAAACAGAAGATATCTACTTAAGGAAGGAGGAGAAAAACAATGTTAAAAATGAAAAATTAATTCTTACTAAAGCCTTCTGGATCTTCTTCCCACATTGTCAGTTCTTCTTCAGTTAACAGAAAATAATGAGAGACTAATCTTCTACAAATCTCTGTCAAGGTGGGATATGTGAAAAACGCCATCTTAATCTTATGAGCTTTAAGAGTTTCAGGGCTACTATCTAGAAAGATAAATTTTACAAGTTAATTGTACAGCCAAACATTCTATCCAAGTACAATTACATAACTTAAATAAAATAACACATTCTGGAGGAAAAGACACACTTAGCATAATTTTCATTTTTATTATAAACATATCTCAAAGACACAGCCTTGTCTCTATCTTACCACTACAGCTTGTACAGCACCATGCAATATTACCACATCATACTGAAGTGACTTACTCATTTCTCTCTCTGTCTCTCCCTCATTCTATCAACGCTGCCTCATCCATCTTTGTATATATACATTCATGAAAGAACTCCAAATAATATAACAAACAATCTTTACATAAACTCATAGAAAGCTTTAATAATTCAAATGAATACAGCACATATAACATGAGCTCCAACAGTCAGTGTAGTACCTAATTCATAAAGTTCCTAAACTTTAAATGCCCTAAAACAGATATCGTGTAGCTTTTAAAAGCTGGTATTCATATAATTAAGACTCTAATTGTTATCTGTACCTCATGTTCCAGAGATCTTTTATTTTTCCAACTAAAATGACTAAATTTCAAAAAAAATAATTATACACAAATAGCAATTACATCACACTTAGATTAGAATAATGAAGTAGACAAAACAAAATTACCAGTAAAGCTTACCTTCAAAATTTTTTGATGGCTTATAAGCATAATTTTTGACAATCATCTTAATAAGATTCATGCATTGGACAATGAATCGCTCAAATGTAACCCCTTCACCAACTTCTGTAAAAACATAGCTTACAGAAAATTCTAGTGATCTCTGAATTAGAGGGGTAAATGAAAAGGGATGCTGGTCCAAGAAATCCAAAAGCTATGAAGAAAAGAAAGAAAATGTTTTGTCCCAATTTTATATTAGAACATAATCATTCCATAAGTACAGCTTATATTATAACCTTGCTAACAATCATTTAACAAGTTTTGAACATTCATAAGAAGTATATATATAGTTTTATATATAAAGCATTTCTTAGGATACATCATATAATGTAGATTACATCAAAATATATCTCTTAACAAGAACTTTCTATCACTTCAAGAACAGGGTCCAATATAGACCACTTTATATTTAACTTGATAACAATGGGTAAATATGACACAAAAGTATAGTTATATAAAAGACAGATCTTTAAAAAGTTAATAGATACAAGGAAAGAATTAAAAAATTATCCTGCCCTTCCTACAGGTGTATCAAACGGGTGATGAAGGAGACTTCTTTATAGAAAAACTCAGCAAACAAATGAAAAAGGAAAAATAGAATGCCACCATCTTGTAATCTCTAATTAAACAATGGATTTAGGCAGTAATCACCAGTGGCCACTAAAATCAATAGGTGAAAAGCTGTTGAGGAACTTTAGAAATGTATGTTGTTGTTGTTGTTGTTATGTGCCATCGAGTTGGACCCAACTTATAGAGACCCCTCCTTGGGTTTCCAAGGCAGTATCACTACGGAAGTAGATTGCCCCATCTTCCTTCCAAGGAGTGGCTTAGCCACAGAAAGGAAGAGACAACCAGACACTGTATGATTCCACAGAAACACAGAGAGTACCACATACAGAGTATTCTTGTCATCCCCATTCTACCCTTTGCAAAAGAAAAGCTGACTGTAGTCAAGACTGTAGATCTAATTACAAATGTGTAAGAAATGTATGCTATTAGCGGTGGGAAGAAAGGTGTACGTTAACATGTTGGACAACACATGGGGAAATACAGCCAAATATAGAACATGGAAATGACCTATTTCCTCAAAAAGGGAACATTTCCCTTCTATACATGGGGGGGAGGGGTGGGGGAGAATGGGAATAAGCTGTTAAAGGACTTGATACTGTTTTGGTCCTGATTCAAACAAATCAACTATAAAAAACTTATGAGACAATCAGAAAATGGACTAGATATTTACATTATATTAAAAAGTCACTAAAAGTCAGTTGCCATCTAGTCAATGTATATGTCAGAGTAGAACTGTGCTCACAGGGTTTTCCTTTGATTGGCTAATCAACCTTTTATAGGAAAATTACTTACTGATAGCAATTACAATATAAGATCAAATAGCCAATTTGCTGGAAGTAGATAACAAGGCCAATCTTCCAAGGGCCTTTAGGTGGACTCAAATCTCCAAACTTTAGGTTAGCAGCCTATGGTATTAAACCATTTACATTACCCAGGGACTCCAAGAAATCATTACCACTGATTAAATGTTACAATGGTGCTACAATTGTGTGTTATTGTTTTTTTTAAATCTCTTACTGCTTAAAGACACATATTCAAATATTTGCAGATAATACTATATATGCTATCTGGAATTTGCTTTACAATAAACAGCAAAGGGGCAGGGAATACACACAGAAAACAGGAATGAATACGAACATATGCTGATAATTGTTGAAGCTGTGTGATGACTTTACGGAGGCTCAATTATTCAATTCCCTGTATTTGAGGATATATTTGAAATTCTTCATTTTACAAAGCTTTAATAAAGCTGCAGAGAATATAAATATGAATTTTATAAATGAAATTACTGTTTACAACTTATTCTGAAAAGAATAAATTATAGATACCATCTGTGGTAGTTAATATTGTGAGTCAACTTGGCTGGGCCTGGTTTTGAGGGGCTGGGCATCTGGATGTAGTTATTCCCCATGATGAGACTGTTATCAACTCCATGATGGAATCTACTGGAGGAGCTGAGTAGCTGCCTTAGGGATGTAGTCTGCTTCTAGTATATAAGTAGCAGTGTTGAGAAAGGTCTCTGCAGCTTTTTGGGCATGCTTAGACCCTACATGTATCCAAGTCCTCATTCAGCAGCACGCCATGTTGTCTTCCAATCTTGGTATTGTTCCTGGACTTGAACCAGTGTCTTGCCATGTTGTGTGATCATCTTGGGACTGTGCCATTTTACTTGCCCACCTTGGGCTTATTAGCCTCAGCAGCCAGCAGCCAGCAGCTGCCTGAGTGAAGAGATGCCTCCAGCTCCCGTGGGCCAGGAGCAAGAGGCAGAGCTGAAGCCCAAGGTCTAAGGGCTTTCACCCAGCCCCTACAGCTGGCACTTTGAACTTGAAAGTAGAGTTTCACTAGAAAGCCTCCTACAGTGTAAGAAAATAAACTCCTGTTTGTTGAAGTCACCCATTTGTGGTATTTTCTGTTAGAGCACCACTAAAACCAAACCAAACTCATTCCATCAATTCGATTCTGACTCATAGCGACCCTCCTTGGTTCCCGAAGTGGTATCTCTATGGAAGTAGATTTCCCAGTCTTCCTTCCAAGAAGTGGCTGGTGGGTTTGAACCACTAGCTTTCTGGTTAGCAGTCAAATGCCTTTGGCACTATGCCACCAGAGCTCCTTAGAACACCACTAGAGGTAACAAGATACCATCTATCCACACTGTTACCTTAAGAACTGAAAAATCCAGTAACTCAACAATCAATGTTTCTTTCTAAAACAAACCACCTTTCTATTTTACTTATGTAATTAACATACTGAGCAGGAATAGTTGCAAGCAAACATCTGGTACATCCTAGTACAGCTCAATGACTAATAACATCATCCTGATTTACTTTGCTTTGTATTTTCTGTTTTTAATTCAAAGGATCTGAGCCCATTTTACTCTGGATCTTAGAAGAGTATTTGGGCGTTTCCTGTTGAGGCTGTTTCCAAAATGAGAGTTGAAGAATTGAAGTCAACTGAAACTGAAGGTAACTGCTACCTAACCACAAAAATAGGAACATCTCATTTCTGTTTCTTTTCTTCCTTATCATGGAACCCAAAACCCAATTACTGAGCAATCCATAAAAAAGAGAAAACAGATTACAGAACCAGATATGCCCACTTCTTTTCAAATACCTAGTTCCCAAGCCAAGTATGGTTACAAAAATATCATTTCCCTTACTAAATATGAATGTACATATCATATGAGTAAACCTTCTTTAGATAAAAAGAGAACTTACCACTTTAGTAAAAAGAATGATGGTCTTTTCCAGTCTATCTCTACATATGTTATCTGCACCTATACTTCTACCTGTCAAAAGCACATTTCAAATATTAGTACAAGTATGTAAACATACAATGAGATAATGTGAAAACTTTTTTCAAAAGTAATACTGTCATGTGTATTTTTGTGTATTTTATACCATGAACTCACTCGTGTGCATTCTCGGCAATAAAAGAATAAACATTTTTAAAAAGAATACCAAGATTTGTACTTTACAACATAGTAATCCTCAGTACCATTATTTCACAAAATTAATCCTAAAATATGAACTGAGCCCATTTTAAAATAATACACAGGCACAAGATGTGTGTGTCTTTTATACACATACATGTATCTGAGCGAAAACTTTGTGCCTCTTTCTGGCTAAGAAGTGGAAGACGTATAAGACAAGATCCTTGTCACAAAGGTGCTTACAATTTTACTAAAGACAGAGGATAAACAGACTACCAGTATAATCCAAAACAAAGCCCTAAACTATCTTAAATATATATTAAGAAGGCTGTAGCAGTCCAAAGAAGTGGAAAATCACCAAGTCCTAAACCACACAATAAAAGTTAATTTCACTTGGGCTTTCACACACAGGGACATTTGAAAACAGGCAAATCCCATGAATGAGGCTCAGAAGCAAAAAAATGGCACAGAGCATATGTATATGTCAGTAAGAAGACTGATTTGACCCAAACAAAGTAGTATAATGTTGAGGTAGGACTGTGAGTGCCTGAAGTCTTTAAAACATTGGTTGGTTGGTCGGTATGTGGCGTCGAGTCAGCCCTAACTCATAGTGACTCCTCCTTGGGTTTCCGAGGCAGTATCACTACGGAAGTAGATTGCCCCATCTTCCTTCCAAGAAGTAGCTGGTGGGTTTGAACCACCAGCCTTCTGGTTAGCAGTCAAATGCCTTAGGCACTATGCTAACAGAGGTCCCCTTTAAAACATTAGGAGAAAATAATAAACAAAATGAAAGCTGCTTTCCCTTTCTTTTTTTTTCTTTTAAAAAAAAAACATAAGACCATGGACATATTTGTGGTTGGATGTTGTCTAGAGAGATGTTAAATGAAACACATCTATATATAAATCTGAGACCTAGCTAACAAGAGCCCATTCAGATCAATCAATAAATGGGGCACTTGGTCAAAACACTATCTCCAGATCTGCAAGGGCAAGGCAGAAGTAATTCATAGAGGAAGTGTCCTACAGGAAAAAGTACTATCATGGGAGTACTTACTGCAATCCAGAAATTGTTTTAGACGTTCAAATATTCCATGTAAAAAACCCTGAAAAAGAGTATTTTTTAAAAAACCCTGAAACAGAGTATTTTTAAAAGTGCATCAAGTTATTCTGTTACAAATATCTGCCATACACATTTTCTGGGTTATTAAAACGTGTATCTCATAAAAAATTAACTGAAAAAAAATTAAATTGGAGAAAATAAAATAAAATTCACTACTATAAAGAACTCTTCCACAAGAAAAAAAAACTGCACTATTTCATCTCTTCATTAACTCAGTTACCTAAATCACTTTGCAATAAATAAATATTTATTCATTAAGTGTTAAATATTCTCCATTCTCCTTACTGTTTATTTTTCTTCACAATCCTTACAACCCTAACATATTACCTGTCATTATTATCTGTCTCCTCCTTCTAGAATGTAAGCTCTTTGAGATGTAGGGCTCTGCATTGTTCACTGCCATATCCCAGAACCCAGAAAACGTATTAAGCAACATTAAATGGTCAATAATCAAATAAATGAACATGTGACTCCAATTATTTAAGCCAGAAGTTCTTAACCTCAACTAATAGACACACTACATCTCAGACAACAGAAAATGAAATTATTGCCATTGACCACCTAGGTCCAATGGACAGTTTTACATACATACACACACACACACACACACACACACACATATGAATAACTTGTTGTTGTTGTTGTTGTCATGTGCCGTCAAGTCGGCCCAGACTCATAGCGACCCCTCCTTGGGTTTCCGAGGCAGTATCACTACGGAAGTAGGATTGCCCAACCTTCCTTCCGAGGAGTGGCTGGTGGGATTGAACCGCCAGCCTTCTGGTTAGCAGTCAAGTGCTTACTGAAGTAAAAATAAAAGGATATTAAAAAACAATTTCATTAAATATTTTAGTAAGAATTTAAACATAAATTTCTTTGTATCAATAAATTTTGAAGCATAAAATTCATGAAAGATACCAAAAACAAGCCTGACTCAGACAGTTTCACTGGGTCATTCCAGAACAAAGAAAAGGAATGAATACTCCCCAATTCATTCTATAAAGCCAGCATAACCCTGATATTAAAGACAGATAAAGACACCACCGAAAAAGAAAATCAGACATCAATATCCTTCATCAATACAGATGCAAAAATTCTCAGCAAAGTTCTAGACAACAGAATTCAACACCACCTTAAAAAAATAACACATCATGACCAAGTGGGATTCAAACCAAGAATGCAATAAATCAATGTAACTCACCACATAAATTAAACAATGGAAAAGAACCACCTGATCATGTCAATCAATGACTAAAAGGTATTTGATCAAATCCAACAACCTTGCCTGATGAAAAAATTTTCAGCAAAAAGGAAATTCCTCAGTATAATTAAGGACATATACGCAAAGCCAACTGCCAACATTATTCTCAATGGAAAGAGATTGAAAAGCATTCCCCTTGAGAATGAGAATCAGACAAAGATGCCTTTCATCACATCTCTTATTCAGTATTGTACTGGAGGTCCTAGCTAGAGCAATAAGGCAAAAAAGGGAAACAGAGAGTATCCAAAATGGTAAGAAAGAAGTAAAACTCTTCTTATTCACAGACAACATGATTCCAACATATAAAACCCTAGAGATTACACAAGAAATCTATTGGAACTAATAGAAGTGTTCAGCAAAGTGGCAGGGTAGAAGGTCAACATACAACAACCAGTTGGATTCCTCTACACTAACAAAGCGAACTCCAAAGGGCAATCAAGAAAACAATACAAAGAATGAAGAAAACCAAAAATTCATGGATACAATCAGTCCTAGCGACTGATGCACCATCCCATCTGCAGCCTATACGACTATGAGACCAGAAGAACTAGATGGTGCCCAGCTACCAATGTCAACCACTTGGAAGGGGACCTATGTAGGAGGATCCTGGACAGAGAGGGAGAACAATGTGGACAAAACTGAAAATCATTTGGAGAAAACAAAAGGGGGGGGGGGGGGCAGGTTGGCTGGTCCGATAGAGCCTGGTGGAACCACTGAGACTATGGCCCCTAGCTGTCTGTCAGGTCTGGAATTAAACCCACACCTGTGGCTTCCAGCCAAGCGAAAGGCATATGAGTTGAACATTTATCTGAGGTACGTACACTGAAAGGAGAAAAAAACCATGGGAGAAAGAAGGGCTGCTTATGCACCAGGAGACAGTTCAGAGGGCAGGAGAGCATGGAAGGATGGACACAGGGAAGAGGTAATTATCAGGAGGAAGTGGGAGGGGAGCTGTTGCATTGTGGTAAATTGTGGTCAATGTAATGAGAAAAAGTGTATGTGAACTACTGTATGGAAAGTGAATTTGCTCTATAAATCTTCACCCAAATCACAATAAAAAATAATAGTAATAAAATAAAAATAAATGAATAAATAAAAGACTGTATTTTAAAAAATTACCATTTACAATAGCCATAAAAAAGATAAAATACTTAGGAATAAATCTAACTAAGCACACAAAAGACTTATATAAGAAAACTACAAAACACCCTGTGTGTGTGTGTGTGTGTGTGTGTGTATGGTTGGAACCATGGAGGGAGACAAAGAGGAAAAAAAGAAGGTGTCTGCTGTACCAGAAACTCTTAAAAAAAAGCAAAGATATTTCGCAGAACTAAAGATCAAGTGCCTGTGAAACAAGTTTGCCCAAAAGATACTACAAAAGGTGGGGATACAAATATACATATTTGTATAATGCTCTATTATATATATGGATACACAGCACAGAAAATAATATGGAACAAAGAAACCAGGGACACCGTGAAAAAACACATAACAAAATGACAGCAACAAATTCACACTTATCGATAATTACCCTGAATGTTAATGGCTTAATGCACCACTCCAGAGACACAGAGTTGCAGATTGGATAAGAAAACAAAACCCATCAATATGCTGCCTACAAGAGACACACCTCAGAGATAAAGACAAAAACAGACTAAAAATCAAAGGTTGGAAAAAGATATATCAAGCAAATGGCAACTGTAAGAGAGCAAGAGTAGCAATATTAATTTCTAATCAAATTGACTTTAAGACAAAACCACCATACGACACAAGGAAGGACATTACATAATGATTAAGAGATCAATGGAACATGAAGATATTACCATAATAAATATCTATGGACCCAATGAAAGAGTCCCAATATATATAAATCAGACGTTGAAAGAGTTGAAAAGCCAAATAGATGACTCCACAGTAATAGTGGGAGACTTTAATACACTACTGTCTTTGAAAGACAGAACAACTGGAAAGAAACTAGCAGAAGAGCTAAACAATACAATCCACCACCTTGGCCTTATATACATCTATAGAGCACTTCAACCAACAGCAGCACAATATACATTCTTCTCCAGTGCACATGGAACATTTTCCATGATAGACCACACATTAGGCCATAAACCAAGCCTTCAAAAATTTGTTGTTGCTGTTCTTGTTGTTATGTGCCGTCGAGTCGGACCCGACTCATAGCGACCCCTCCTTGGGTTTCCGAGGCAGTATCACTACGGAAGTAGACTGCCCCATCTTCCTTCCGAGGAGTGGCTGGTGGGTTTGAACCGCCAGCCTTCTGGTTAGCAGTCAAGTGCCTTAGAAACTACACTACCAGAGCTCCCTTCATAAATTTAAAAACATAGAAATACTGCAAAGCATCTTCTCAGGTCATAATGATATCAAACTAGAAATCAACAACAGGAAGATCAAAAGGAAATGAGTAAACATGTGGAAACTGAACAACACCCTCCTTGAGAAAGACTGGGTACGAGAAGAAATCAAAATTGAAACCAGAAAATTCCTTGAATCAAACGAGAATGAAAACACAACATACCAAATCTTTGGGACACAGCAAAAGCAGTGATCAGAGGCCAATTTATAGCAATCAATGAACACATCAAAAAAGATAGAGCCAAAATCAACACCTTAAATGAACATCTCCAACAATTAGAAAAAGAACAGCAAGAAAAGCTTACAGTCACCAGAAGAAAGGAAATCATCAAGATTTAAGCAGAAATCAATGAAAGAGAAAACAGAAGGGCTATAGGAAAAAAATCAACAAGAGCAGAAGTTGGTTTTCTGAAAAGATCAATAAAATTGACAAACCACTGGCAAATTTAACAAAGGAAAAGGGGGAGAGAATACAAATAACATGCATAAGAAACGAAATGGGTGACATTACACAGAACCAACTGAAATAAAAAGGATAAAATCAGGATACTATGAAGAGCTGTACTCCAACAAATTTGAAAATTGGGAAGAAATGGACAAATTTCTAGAAACACACCACTTACCTAACCTAACACAGATTAATGTGGAAAAGTTGAACAGGCCCATCACAAAAGAAGAAATTGAACATATCATCAAAAAATTACCAACTAAAAAAAGTCCTGGCCCAGATGGTTTTACCGGAGAATTCTTCAAAATATTCAAAGGAGAACTGATACCAACCCTACTCAAATTATTCCAAAACACAGAAAAGAATGGCATCCTTCCTAACTCATTTTATGAAGCAAGCATAACCCTGATACCAAAACCAGGCAAAGACATCACTCAAAAGGAAAACTACAGACCAATATCCCTCATGAATATAGATGTAAAACTCTTCAACAAAATT